TAATTACACTCTTTCCTTAAAAAACCTGCAATTGAATTCACTTGGGGAGTCTCCGAAAGCTGTGAAAACCTATTCATTCTTATAATATCCTTTTGACATGTCTTAAAGGGAGAAGAAAGCTTTTAATTCCTTGGTTTTGGGGATAATATTTAACAGAAGTCAGTGCCTTCAAGGGCTCAGCTATGCTCTTTGAAGCTAGTGGAAAAAAAATTCCTGTTGAGTTTCATTGCAGAAGAACTAGCTCCTTTCTTTGAAAAATTAAGTTAAACAAGGCACAATGTGTTGTGTGATGCAAGGAAATTAATTTGCGTCATTAAGATGTGAAAATTCTCACAAATATTAGGTATGGCATAAAACATAACCAGATTAATTATTCCCTCATAAAACACATCAATTACCTCTCAGGAAAGGTATCTGGATCAAGTCTATCTGCATATATTTGGGCACAACAAAAGCCTATATGCTGTTAATGATGTAAATGGTACCTGCCTCAGAGGGACTTTAAGAGGTGTAACCAATGGATTAATATGCTTTGAAGAAGAGAAATACTGCACAGGCATTACTGGATGTATTTTTAAAGACTAAGCTGGTCTTAGTCTTTAGATGGCTCCAAGCATTCAAATCTTCTGTGGTGATGAAGGAGGATGGACGTCTCGAGAAGGTAACACATCCTTAGAAGGCTGCCGTACACTATGAGGAAATTGTGAATTGTAGGGGTAATCCCAAGTTTTACCTTAACCAGATAATTCTGGGGTCCTTACAGGTAAGAAAGCTAATTCCACGCTTAAAGCACTCAATGTCTTATCAATGCGAAGATATTCTTTCAATCAAGGGACTGAGAAATGGATCCGAGTGGCATCCAGCAGCCACTCCTCTGCCTTGCCCACAGAATACATCAGTGGCCCACGACGTTAATGAGCTGTTGCATATAGATGAGCAGGCAACCAGTCCGAGCTAACACGGCCATACATAAATAGCAAAGGGGCCTTTGGGCTCTCTTCCTTCCATGCAGAAGCTGTTGCACCAAGGCACGGGGAAAATCTCATGGTCTAAAGAGGAGAAGAAGCCGGGCAGCTATTTTCACCCCTCTTTCTTCTGCAGTCATTCCTACTGCTTAACACCCAAGGTAAGAAGTTCAGTGCTGTATTTTTTCTTGAAACATCAGCAGGGAAAAAAATATGCACTAATATTAGTAGTATATTTAACAATCAGGACATAGTACTTAAGGGCTGACTTGTCAGAAAGTGGTAATTCCAATTTTTCCAGCTCACAGTGCCCCTTTAATGAATTATTAGTAATGTTTTCTGAGAGCATTTGATGAAAGACACCAAGAGTTCTTTACTTAAACAAACCAATTTTCTGCATGGTGCAACCTCAGCCCACAAGAGGGGAAAAATCTCCCGCTACAGAATCAAATTAAGAAAAGAAGTAAGAGTTCGAATGATCAGGAAGCAACAGGTGCCCTCTGCAACTATTGCCTTAAATTCTGTTCTCAAAGCCCAACAAGGTATAAAACCTAAGTGTAATAGTGGTTTTGGTCATCCATTTCTAGCTGTTAATAAGCATTTTATTTATATATATATATATAAACATACACAATTGTGTATATATATATATATATATATACACAATAGTAATTGATAATCTTTGCAACTGGATGCAGGCATAACTCATCTGACTGCAACAGAATCAGCCTCGTGCCCAATTGGCTTAAAGTTGTGAATCAGAAACAAAGATTCATTTAATTCCTTTAGTTTAATTCTCACTTCTTAAACTCTTTCCTTTATTGGTGATGTTGTGTCACTCTTCTTTCTCTGAAACACCTGCAACTTTAGGCTAAGGTCACTAAGGGAATACTTATTATTCGCTCTAACAAACCAATTCCCCAGCATGTCTGCAACTCCTGCTGAAATTAAATCCGGATCCCTTTGAGGGATACGTTGGCTCCCTACCAATTACTTCTGTCTTTGAAAGGGAGCTGGCAAAGTTTGCTTTTCCACCCCTCCAAATCTTCTCTCATTATGGAGGAAGACAACAGAATTTCCTCTGTTATCTCACACCCGTTCTGGCCTTGCTCACCTGCCTTTCCCCATGCTCCTTCTCTCCCACTAGTCCATTCTGCCTTTCCAGAAACAGGCAGCTGATTTCCCATGCCCACATGCATGAATTGACACATAAGGCAAGCTCCTCCTTGACTTTCCCTAGAAAACACATGCTGATGCCACCGTTCTTCTAGATGTCTCTTCATTACCATGCTCATGCTGATGTCTCATGCCCCAGTACTATTTATCTTGGTGTCCATTCGCTTGCTGCAGATGGGTCTGAGTTTGCAAAGGGCCAACTGCAGTGCTACCAAGCACGAGCTGACCTTGCTTTCCGAATTCATGCAGAACAAGCAGGTGACCCTCCCTCCGCCACTCTGCAAGGTGGCCGGGGGGTCAGGAGACAGCGAGGGCCAAGAGGCTTTCATGCCTCATTTCCCTTCATGGAGTTTCTTGCTGCTTTCCAGCTTCATTCGGACCTGTCATTTGTCCTTGACTGTTTTAGGAGAAAAGTAGCTAGGAGCAGTTGCAGGAATTCGCAGTTCTTGGCTGAAGTTCTGTGGAGCTACCCCAGTAATTGGTAAGTCAAGAGAGGACCCCAAGAAGTCCTTGGAAAGGGATGGTTGGGGTGAAAACCCTTCCAGCAATTCAGCTCTGTCCATCCTACACCTGAACACAGAGATGGTTTGTTGAGATTGAGATAGAAACAGCAGCTCGGCTTAACACTCCTGTGGTTAAAGTGCACCCTTAAATCTCTGGATTATGAAGGGAACTCAAAGGTGAGTTTTCTGTCCCAAAAAGTAAAGCACGATGTAGCACCAATAACGTTTGCATCACCTGTACAGTTAATGTTGAACAGTTACCTCCTATCTGAATGTTTCCCAACCTCAAGAGATGCAACAGAGAACTTCATCTCAGGACTGACTTCCTCAAATTTGTAGGTTAATTCTAATCTCGTCACGTCAATGCCCCATGCAGTCAACAATGAGATAAGACAACCTGAAGAGAAGTTCAACCTGTCTTCATATATTCTCTGCTAACTTTAGCCCCTCTTTAAACTACCTAGAATTTTCTAACATGTTCTGGGGTGAAGTGTGGCAAGAAAAATCCCACTTTTCAAGCCATTTCACTAGGAATTGGGAAATCTCAAATGACTGAATTGTGTGTGAACTAGAACGACTAGGAATGACTTAGTGCCAAGACCAAAATTAGGGACCGTGAATAGGAGTCTTGTTACCCCTGGTACTTCTTCTCCCTTTTATTGTCTGCAATAAAAGCACCTCTTGCAGAATATGCATTAGATGTTAAACAGTGAGAGGCAGATTGGGCCGCTCTATTTAACTTACAATATCACTAAGTGCCCAAAGACTTGCACAGTGTGGGCTCTCATAGAAAATCTAAAATCAAGACTTCCATTTGTAAAAAAAATTCTTCAAATCAGCTTAATATCTGTCCAGGTGAAAAAGCCACTATATATTCCTCTGTTATTTCACTCCTTGCTGAGAATATTAAGATATGCACACAACAGCTTTTCATCTCCTTAGACTGTGTGCAGTTCGTACTGAGATGGCAATCAGGCATCTCTTGTCTTGGTTTTTCTCCCCAAAATCTCCATTTTATTAGAATTCCAACTACAACAGGCTGCTGGTATTCTGGCAGTCCACAGCAACACACGGTTTGGGAAGGAAGGAGCTCAAAGCTTTGTGCACTTCTTGGACACATCCACACAACGCCTTAGTTCCCCCTCCACGTTACAAGTAGATGGGAAAACAAACAAGGAGGAGAAGGGTTGCCTCACAGTACATGAAAATATGAAAAGTCAGGAACTGAGATTAAATATTTATGCTGTCTAGGCAACATTTTATCACTTGTACTCCCCAAGTCTTGCAGTGAAGAAGTCTTCTCATGAGGACAACTTAGCTTTGTTTATGGGCTGAGACACAATCTGCTCGAGAAGTTTACTCTTTGCTGCACAGTAGCAAAGAATGAAGCGTACTGAATACTGGTCTCTGACCTTGATAATAAGTTGATTTAATTGGGTTTGATTTTTCAAATGTAACATCTCAAGTCAGCCATAAACTCCGAAATTAGCATATCGCAGCTCCACGCAGGAGAGATTTTAAAGCAGCAAAAAGAGATGAAGTCCATGACCAATGAATTTCAAATGACGCTTAGGAGGAACTCAGCCATATGCATGTTAAGCCAAAATTGTGCAGGATTTGAGTGCACCAAGCAGCAAAATTATTAATGACTTGCTTTTGCTATTAAGAATGCAAAGTAGCTGCTTTGCACCCAGTCTGCTCATATGTCTCTTCACATCAATGACCCATGTGATGGGTCAATAATTCACTCAGGGCATACTGAAAGCTATAAACATCTTGCAAGTCAATTACTTACGTAAATAGGAACACCAAAGTAAATGACTGAAAAATAAGGCTCTGCTGGTGAAATACTGGAGTCTAGAAATAGCAGACAGGGTCTCTGCCTTTGGACTTTGCAGATGGTGCTCCAAAATACCTTAGAAGGGCATTGTGTACACCCTCAAAAGCCAAAATTAGCCTTATTGTGGGCAACGTTGAGTTATAACAGGGAATAATCAGATAATGTTGAAACTAGAAATTTCATTTTTGCAGAAGTGGCCAAAAGATCAACAGTAGTAGGCAAATAACGGCATAATGAGATTTGGTTCTCAAAATTTGCTTCTGAGTTTTGTTTAGTCCTCATGACATTCACTTCTAATAAATCGCAGGAGCATCTCAGCCAATCTCCTAGCCACAAACAGGCTCTGACTCCCTAACTTCAATAGCTAGAGCTTGCTTTAGTGAACCTCATATGAAAGAGCACCAGGTGTCTTTAATACTTCTGCCTTCAGCTGAAAGTCCCTAAAATTAGGCTTTGCTTCCCTTTATCTTGGGACCATAAAATGACTTTGAAAGCCATGGCAAGGGCTGCAGACTGGGCTACCTGCTCCTGTAGAAGGTGCTAGAACAACCAAAGCTGTTGCCTACCTCATGATGCAGCACCTAAAGACGGTTCAAGAAAGGAGCCAAGGGAGAGGAGACTGTAATGGGACAAGATGCACCCGGACAGCTTGGTTGAACCTTGCAGAAACCAGGAATAAGGAGGTAGGACAAAATCTGTCGCTAAATATTTGCAGTGCTACTAAAACTTGTGATTGGAGTGCTAAATCATGGAAGTCTTCCCAACTTCTGGTGTGTGTTATTGAACCTTAACTGATTAAACAACCAGTATAAGCTAGAAAGTGCCAATCTACTTTGCAGCTGCTGTGACAGGCTTGCAGGCCCGCTGAACAGCAAAAAAATGTGCTGCAAAATAAACTCAATTAACAATTGAATTAACAATTCTATGGTTTCATCACTGGTTTCTTTCTAGGCTTATAGTTAGAAAAGCTAGAAAACATATTATCCCTTGTAGATATTCCCATTCCCTGTGTTACCAGTTGTAACCTATCCTAAATTTTAGCAGGGTGGAGGTCAGAGTAGTTTTTTTGTATCTCCAGGTGGAGGAAAAGGGCAAGCTCGGGGAAATAATCCCAAACTGCCTCTTAATGGCAACAAGACTAGAATGCCACCCCTTAAACATCTGCTGGGAAGCTTCTTAATCTCAGATGAGACACAGACCTTCAGAAGAACCTAGAAATTGCTCATTAAAGGGATGGTCTATTGATACTCCTGGCTAAGAAAAATTATAATTACAATATTTAGCACTATGCAACTTATGTTCTATGTAGCATGCCTTAACCTCTGACAGCTGAGTGGTGCAAAGATGAGAAACTACATACATTTCAGTAATATAACTAAGGAGAATAACACATGTACCTTAATCTTAAGAGAAGTTCTTCCTCTGCTTTCTTAATTTGAGAAGATGACAGAAGAAATATGGAAGAGCTGCCTTATATCTGACAGAAAATAGCTATCATTTGAATTTGCAGGACACCTTTATTTCTGAAAGACCCTCAAATATTTTATAGATGACAGCTGGATTCAGGAATCACTTCAATTACTGCTGAAATAACATGCAACTCTAACAGCTCAGGGCAGCCCAAAAGCTGCTTTGAAATAATATGAGTCTACATCATGAAAAATCATTGTAGACTTTGAAATAGCCTCATAGTCCTGTGTAAAATAGTAGAATTACTCTTATTATTTCCTTTTGCAGACCGAGAGCATGAGTAAGAAAGCAGTGGAAATAGCCCGAGACCACACAGACAGGACTGCAGCTCAAAAAATGCCTGTTTCCAAAGCAATGCATCCAATTTTCTCCTCTTTATGTCCTTAGTTCTTTCAGCTTAAAACTGCGGGTTACTGCTGCAGAGCAGAGTAGGGTCTATCATACTACTTAGCACATATTTCTTTTTCCCCACAATCCTGCCATGTGAGCAATGATCAATTAGAAACACACAGCAAGTGCCTTGGATTTCCAGGGTGAATCTAGCAAAGCGGGGATTTGAACCTCTCTCAAGCTCATCACATTGGTCTCTATCTCTGGTGCTAGGCTTGGCTTATTGGCAGCAAACCAACTCGGCACAGTGATTTTTTTTTTAGGTTTAGAAATGTTAAAGTCACCTTGATAAACACAGAAGATTGGGATGCAGAATTTACAGCCTAGCTAAAGGCAAGGACTGTAAAAGGACAGCAGTCTTGAAAGTGCATGAAAATATTCCAGAACTGCTCATTTGGCCTAAGATAAGCACCTGCTATTCTCCATACAGCTGTGCTGTGAGCAGGTGGAAGACTGCAATAGAGCAATGCTGCTGCATGCAATTCATGCAAGAAGGAGCATGAAGTGTAAATATTTGGTTGCAGTATTAGACAAACTATATATAATCTCCATCAAAAAGCAAAGCAAAACTCAAGGGAACCCTTCCTGCTGGAGGTAACCCAGGTTAGCCACTCAGCAGCCTTTCCCTCGTGTGCAATATCGTGGAGCTGCTGACTTGCAGACCAAGACTAACATTTGAACGCAGCTGAAGAGACATAAACCAAAACCTGTCTGTGTGCCTGGCTTGGTGGGCAGTGTAGAGCAAGGGTGGTGCTTTCTGTCCAGGCTTCTTGCTGTGCCCCTACCCTGGGCTGCAAGTGCCTATCTCCTGTGATATTGCTATGACAAGGCTGTATATTATAGCAACACTGGCTTTCTTGCTTTTGCTCTTTTTTTTTGTTGAATGCAAAAAGAACTATTTTGTTGTTTCCCCGTGTGTGGAATAAGCACAAGCTTTCTTCCACCTCCAGAAAAAGCTGTTACAGCAACATTAACCATTTTCAGTGAGTGACCCTTCCCACGCTCGGGACCCTTCTTGGGGTGGTATGAAGCCATCCTCAACTCACCAGTTCTTTGGGAAGCAAGTTTGAGTATGGAAGCTTGGAATACAGGACTACCATTGTGCATTTAGCTACCTTGACGTTGGATGTTGAGGCAAGGCCACAAGGGCCAGTGCTGGAAGGCAGTTTTATCTCAGAACGGCTGCGTTGCTGATGACTAAGCCACCTGCCTCCCCGTCTTCAGGGTTTCTGCTGCAAGACCTTTGGCTGCATCATTCTGGTGACGGGGCCTTGGCTTTGCCCCACCTGCAGAAACATATTGCAAGTTAATGATTCATCCCCTTGAACACTCCAGCAGAGAATAACAAAATGAGAAAGGGTGCAAAAGCAGCTCATGTGACTCTGTCCCTTTTCCCCTGTGACTTTTGTGGTTAGTGTTTAGGTAGTGCTGCCTTCCCCACTTGCATCTTGCTGCTCTCTAGTTCTTTCTTTATATTTGGCTTCTGCTTTCAGTCCTACAGGAGACCTTATAGGTTTCCTTCACCTTGAGTTCCTCCATGCTTTTAGGCTAAAACACCTTTTTCTGGAAACCACAAGTGTCTAGAACAATATTTACCTTTGTTTGCAAAACAGTTAATTTTCAAGGCTTCTCAGTAAATCAGCATGAATTCCCTCAAAGGGGATTACACATCTAGCAGAACACTTCCAGTGAATTAATTCCCCCCCTTTTTTCCTCTTGCATCCACAGTGACGCCTCACAAATCCATTGCAAGGAGGATTTTCTTGTTTTCGATTAAAGCAGAAATACCAAAAGATATAATTGCACTGGAGAGTGCTAGCAATTTCTTTTTATCTAGACAAAACTCTTTTGCAAACCCTGTTTAGACATAGGAGGCACAACAGCCTGTCCACTTGCTTCCACTCCTTAGATTCCCAGCAAATGGGAGAGCGGGATTAAACTTGTCTGCAGTACTATCTACAATAAATATTAATTGCTAATGAGAGCAATGACTTTACTGCTGTAGATTCTTTATTTAGACTCCTGCATGTAAATATTTCAGCCTTTGAGACCCACCAATGAGCAGTCCTAAGCGTTCAGAAAACAAGCTTTTCCTGCCTTGCGATTGCCCCTCTTCCATTCAGTCGCCTCCCTGTATCCTCATGGATGAGTTATCCCTTGGGCTTGGCCTGGTGGCAGGAAATTGCAGCCTATTTCTTCAAGCATTGCTGTAATTAAGGATTACATTACAGCAGTAAGGACCTTAGTCCCTTACAGGGGAAAAAGCAGGTGACTTTGATGATTTCCAAGGGGTTCCTCTGCCTTGGGGTTTCAAGGGCATCCACTTCTCCCTGCTGGATAAGAAGCCTGGGCTGTGGGATGGGTATTTTGCACAGTGCATTTTGCCATGCTTGTCCCCAGATGATCCGAATGAGACCTCGCCAGTGCATGATGTGGCTCTTGTCAGTCCTGAGAGGTTTCCTTATCTTAAAAACCCCAGCAGGAGAGAGGCAAGATATGTAACTGGATGAAAAGGAGAGGTTCTAAGGATAGCACTTTATGTTCCCAGTGTATATTATAAACAACCTACAGACAAGTGGGTACCGTTTCGCCTCCTCTGCTGCAATATGGAAAGAGGCAGCTCAAACATCTTACCATTAATCTGCCCAGCAAGAGGATGGACCAGCAGATCTGTTAGCGTACCCACCACAAATTGCACTGGGAATTTGGGCTGGCCCAACGTAGTCGCTTTAGCTAATTGTGCCTGGCCTCAGATTAGCTGAAGGATCGTTTTTTGGCTACACTTGGGCTTCTAGAATTGGGATATATGTGGTAAGGAGAGAGGGAATGCTGCCGTTTCCATCCCATCATATTGGGTAAATTCCTCTCCTCAGTGCAGCTAGGAAGGAGTAAAGGAGCTGTGCTCTCCAAAGGTCTCAGCAGCAAAGCAGCTGTGTTACTGCACCCTTTTCTAACCAAAAGGGTTTTGCAAGGCATTAGAAATGTAGTATGTCAGATAGTTTGCACCCAGAAAGTTCAGCAAAAGAAAAGAGGAAAAAAAGGAAAGATCTGGTTTTTGAGAAGACCTGAACAGGACTGAAAAAAAAAAAAATCCCTTAACGCTGTATTTCCCTTTCTTCTACCTAAGCTTCTTAGTACTTCATCCGAATCCATAAAAGATGTTTTTCTGATGAAGGCCACAGGTTCTTCCCCATTGCTGGGCCACTTTACACTCCTGTTGTCTCCTCCTAATGACTCCTTTTTCCTACGTGTGCTGCTGTGAGTGAAGATACAGTTTTGAAGCCATGGATATCAACGCTGTAAAGCGTCAGCCCCCCACCAAACCTGCAGCACCTTCCCCTTCCTTCACTCATGGATCTGCTCAAGTGCTGCATGTGGCTGCGATTAAAGCCCTTTTCCTGGATTAATGTGCTCCGCACACGGTGTCGTACAAAGGATTTATCCCGGGAACCATTAAAGCGCCTGGTCATTATCCCCCACTTTCAAAATTCTTCCCAAGGACACGAGCAAGAGCAGAGAGGAAAACTCGGCCACGTTTTGGGGTGAGCAGAGGACCTCTGGTATGTAGAAATCAGGAATTCGGATAGACTTTCTTATCTACTTACAGGAATGCAGGGAAAGGAAAAGGCAGAAATGCATCTAAGAACTCTACTTTTATGACATATTTTATGAAATATTCCGCGGAAAACGATGGAAGATTGAGACCGATGAGGACTTTGAGAACAGAAATCCAGCAGTTTGTTACTCTAGAGATGGGAAATAGGAAGGGGAAAGGGGCAAGGAGCCTCATTTTGGTAGCTAACCCCATCTAACTGTGATTGACTGTCATCTTTATTCATGGAAGGGTTTTATTCGGAAATATCCCAAAGCTTTAAATGCAAGTGGTGCACTGCACATCTTAAAAACATATTCTGCCTGGGGGCCAGGAGCAACACTGCTGACTCCTGCAACTAGGAATTTAACATGCAAAAGAAATATAGACAGCGATACCCTGTTTATTCTGGCCAAGCAGGAAACGTATCCTGGTAAATATTAGCTAAGACATAGCTGGGTTACCTTTGCTGATTTAAACTGAAAGGGCTTTAAGTGCTGTATTATACAACTTGCTTTATATAACCTCCTCTAGACAGTCTGTGATGTATACGTGTAGTATGCTTGTACAGAAGGGGATTTTTAGTCCCGTTGAAGCAAATCAGTGTATTTCAGTTGTGTGTGGGAGCAGGAAAGATGTGTTGACGGGAGAATTCCCTATGTTATCCTGCTTAAAAACAGATATAATTCTTTTGACTTTGACCTACCTGGGGGTAGCGTAAACAGGGCTTGTAAAACAGTCTGTGAAGAGGACGTGGGAGACTTGAAGAGCTAGAAAAAGAATGGGAAAGTAGATTTGGGACCTATTTGCAATGTCGCAGTCATCCCATCAACCCTAATCAATAGCTATTGGATTGCCTCGACAAATCCATGGTCACATTTCTGGAGATTCCCATGTGGTTAGTAACTGAAGAGCCACAGGCACAAGAATTTTCCTTCATATTTCTTCATATTTTCTTCATATTTCTCAGTGCTCACATTCCTTCAGAAAAAGAGAAACTACAGGACAGCACATTTCCGTGCAGTGAAAGAAATACAGGAGGCAAACCTTAAATATCAGAAAAGTTCCGGGAATGGCCTGGAATAATCCTTTTGCTCAAACTATATGTTAACACAAACACATTAAAAGCGCATCAAGAAATCAGAATTTGAGGATTGTTTAGAAAATGACCTCATTTCCCCCTTCCTCAAATATCTGCTTAAAGTTTAACCTTCGTCAGCACCATTCACAGCCAATAAATTCAGCAGCAAAAGTTTAAAACAGTGCAAAGCCGCATTACACAAGTGACCTTCGATATTTTACTTCCTAATTTGAACTGAAAGCAGGAGGAAGGTGGATTCATTGTAAGAGCAGAAAGAATACAACTTTGCACTTAATTGCAAAGTGCAATTTATTCATATTTATATTCTTTCAACTCTAATGATTTCCTATTTCTCCTTTGTTACTGTTTACTGTAGGGGAGGCACATATGAAACAGCCTTAAAGGAACCAAAAAATTGTGCCACAGGGTATTTGAGCACATCCTTCTTAGGAAAATCAGTGAGAACTGGTCAGTTTTGTAGTGATTTGTGCCCAAGTGTTTTTCTTGTTAACATGATATGGGATTTCACGTTAGTGTTGTAGTATCTTTCTCTCCTTTCTAATTCTGCCAGGAAAAAAGGGAAGTTATTTGAATTTCTGAATGTGTCACTACAGTCAGACTGCCAGTTTTTGCTCAAGCTTCTGCACTAACCCCTTTCATACCCTGCATTACTCCATAATGAAAAATAAAAAATAAAAAATAAAGAAAGCCTATGGGCTTTCTTTTTTCAGCAGACTTTCAGGAATAGGAGGGCTTCCCAGCTCTCAGGTTGCTAAAACCGAATTTCATCTCCAGGCACAAGTTGGAAAAGAGAATTACAAATTAAGCACTTTAACAGAATTATCATACGTAAGGATTAGGTGTGAGATCCAATTAGTTGGCCTCTGGTGCCAGTGTTCCTAAGGTGAAAAACCTGACAGCAGCCCCAGGCTCTTGTAATTCCATGCCCAGCAATGCCCTGCCCTTGCTGGAGACCTAGTCTTTGTTCTTTAAGTCAATGATAAAGCCTCTGCAGGCTTGTGATCAAGACTGAACCCTAGGGAGGGAGACCTAAGTGGTCTTCTCCTCCAACAGAGCTCCAAAGTGTCAACACCTGAGCAAAAAAACCATTCCCAATAAGTTCTTTTTTGTGTCACCTCCTATAACAGTAAAGGAAGAGCAACAATTACAAGTGTCCTGGTGTCTCCACTACTGAGATGTTCATGTGACAGCTCTTTGGAAAGAGACCATCATCCACAGAAGTTGCAGCTCCCTGAAACACATGGGGCTCTGCATGACTGGGGTCACAATGTCCTTCTAGATGCAGTAAATTCAGAGTAGCCTGTGAGTCACCGGTAGGACTATTTTCCTGCAAGTTCTTTCCTTAATTTATTGGTTTGCAAGCATTCTGCCCCCAAGAAATGTGATTATAGGACACAGTGAAATTTAGCTGCACGAGAAGAATCTTATTCAAAGGCAGAATAAATAAGCATAGCGTGTACATTTTGCGGGCAAGTGAGTGCTGTGTGCTAATTTAACATGTCCTTTCTGGCCCCAGAACATTTCTTATGCTTGAAGGGTGACCAACTCTGCAAGGAATTATTTTCTCCTTGAAGAACATTCCTAAACTCTGGGTCAAAATCTGACCCTGGATCTGTCTGTGAACATAGCAGGCAATCTTTAACTTGGATTCCATCAGCCTCTCCCTACACTTGCCTGTTTTGCTCCAAACCTGGTTTCCAAGGCAAGAACTTGTTAGTTCCCTCAGATACGCACTGAAATTTTTGCCCACTTGCTGAGGGAAAAAATGCAAATGATCTCCCTTTGTTCCTAAACCAGTGTCTTGAGACTCGAGCAGAGTTTATTCCTTGCCTGCAGGAACAAATGCAACCTGTATTACCCTTAATTGTTATTATTTCTCATTCTCCAGAACACCATCAGCAGGAGGAATGTTCAACTACCTTCGGAAACGCTTTGCCAGGCACCTCACAGAGCGGAGCCGGCGAAGAGCAAGGCTTGTCTCCAAAGATGGAAGGTGTAACATAGAGTTTGGCAATGTAGAGGAGCAGTCAAGGTTTGTCTTTTTGATTGACATATGGACAACAATCCTGGATCTCAAGTGGAGATACAAAATGACTATCTTTATTTCAGCATTCTTAGGTAGCTGGTTTCTCTTTGGTCTCCTCTGGTATGTTGTGGCGTACGTACACCAAGATCTTCCAGAATTCAACCCTTCCATAAATCATACCCCTTGCGTTGAGAACATCAACGGCTTGACTTCAGCTTTCCTGTTCTCCTTAGAGACTCAGGTGACCATTGGTTATGGCTTCAGATGCGTCACAGAGCAGTGCGTCACAGCCATTTTCCTGCTGATTTTCCAGTCCATCCTAGGGGTAATCATCAATTCCTTCATGTGTGGAGCCATCTTGGCCAAGATATCCAGATCCAAAAATCGGGCTAAGACCATCACCTTCAGCAAGCATGCTGTCATCAGCAAGCGTGCTGGCAAGCTGTGCCTCCTCATCCGTGTGGCAAACCTCAGGAAGAGCCTGCTGATTGGAAGCCACATCTATGGAAAACTGCTCAGGACCACCATCACCCCTGAAGGAGAAACAATCATCCTGGACCAGGTCAACATAGACTTTGTAGTTGATGCTGGCAATGAGAACCTCTTCTTCATCTCCCCTTTAACTATTTATCATGTCATAGATAAGAACAGCCCCTTTTTCCACATGGCAGCAGAAACGATTCTGCAGCAGGATTTTGAACTGGTGGTGTTTCTGGATGGCACTGTGGAAGCCACTAGTGCTACCTGTCAGGTAAGGACATCCTACATACCAGAAGAGGTGCTTTGGGGTTACCGCTTTGCTCCCATTGTGTCCAAGACCAAAGAAGGGAAATACAGAGTAGATTTCCAGAACTTCAGCAAGACAGTGGCTGTGGAGACTCCCCACTGCGCCTTCTGTCTCTACAACGAGAAAGAAACCAAAGCCAAAGAGAGGAAAGGTTACGATAACTATGGCTTTGTAATGTCCGAAGCCAGTGAAACTAGTGACACACAGATGTAGCTCCGAATATTCGTGGGATTTAACTTTCTCCATAAGGAAATCAATCTGGACAGGCTTAATAAATTAGTAAAACAGCAGAAAGCCTTAAATCAGAGGACCAGCACAGTGATCTCCAGAATGCTATTGAACTATGCTCTGTATATATTTCATAGTATTTATATTTTTGTACCTGTGGGACATTTTGTGAAGCTGCTAAGTTGGAATGTCCAACTCATTTAAGTTTCCAGAGGCATGCGAGTTTGTTATAAAGCCTGAAGAGACAGGAAAAAAAGGACATATTCCAACACAGCTGTTGGAACGAAAGAATGAGCCATGAATAGAAGTCAAAATTTTCAAAAAATCTAAGGGATTTAGGAGCCAAAACCAGAAAAAAAAAGTATGTTTCTAATTGCCTAAAATCATCTCTACAAGCAGATACTCTGGCTCCAGAACACTTAAGCACTTTGGAACATTTCAAAATCATCTCTTTGCGAGGCAGGTATAGCTAGAGAAATGGAGCATTACTGGATGGTACTTGCTTAGAAAACTGGTGGAAAAGACAAGTTCAGTCATATTGCTGCACGCAAAGCTGGGTGAAACACTATTCTGTGAGATGTTTTGATTCCGTTTATGAAGGAAAGAAGCAAATGGAAAATGAGAAAGAGCAAAGAGAGGCACAAGGAGACCCACTATGAGAAAAGAAGAATTTTGTAGCTTCTCGCCTTCTGGGTACTCTTGTGACCACTTCTCCAGAGGCTGGCGACCTGTCAAAGCTGGAAGTGTCCAAAACCAGCTGTCCAGATGATGAAGATGAGCCACAGTATGGTTCATCTTCATTCATGAAGATGATGATGGGCCACACTGTGGAGAACCAAAAAACAGCAGTTCTGGTATGCGTGACAAGAAAGCCATCTACTGGAAGAAGGGAGGAAATTCCCTGGATGCACCTTCAGGAAAAAAAAAGTCAGTCCAAACTGCAACAAGACTACTACTTTGTGAATGAATGGAATGTGTGTTGAAAGCAAAATCTGGGAAGCAGGAGTGCTCAGGTCTCAGCCCAGGGTGACCCCCTTGGTTGGTTCAGAAGAGATGGTTATATTTATCAGATTTGCTGTCTATAACACAGAACATATCAAGATCAATGGTAAGAACAACCATGTCTCTAAAGCACTTTAAAAGCCAACTATCAACAGCATCAATCTTTCCTTCTCAATGCATCGCTGCTATGCACTTCTTCACGTGTAGATGGAAAGGTCAGCAAAGTTTTGTTCTCATCTTGTTGCATCAATTACCAAAATGAACAACCTACAGTTGATTGCATGGGAGGCGAATATTCAAGGTAATTCATAGACATTGCCCAATAAATCAAGCGTACTCTTTTTGCAGCCGTGCAAGTAACACTGCAATCTGCAGATACCTTCATAGCCCCAATCATCGGGGCATCGGAGGCTCTCCAACCAGTAGTGGATCTCAGATTGTCTGGTTGAAAGGACAGGTTTATTGTCTTCTTCTTACAGATGATGTACCAGGGTAGACAGTGATTGATTTCATGGTCACCCACAGACCTGGGAGGGTGCAAGATGGTGAAATAACATCTGAGTCATCCCTGGTTTATCTGAACCAAGTTCTCCCTCTGATGCTGCTCATTCCCTTTATGGAGCTTCCTTTACAGATGCTGTTTATCATATCGATGGAAACCTGAGTAATCAAATAAAAATTACACCTCTTCCCCTAGGAAGAGAAGCAAGAGGATGTCGTCTTAACCTTGATGAGGAGACAACCTCCACAACAAGAAGGGCACATCTCTAGCAAATCCATTTAGCACCTTAAGCCCTCTGGGCTTTTGTGCGGCCTCCCCGGGCCTCCATGCGTGGCTGGCCCTCCAGGCCGTCCGGGCTTTCGTGCGGCCTCCCTGGGCCTCCAGGCCTTTGTGCGGCCTCCAGGCCTTCATGCGGCCTCCATGCGCCCCCCTGGGCCTTTGTGGCCAACAGAATTGGCATTTCCTCCTTCTGTCCAGGGAGGCCTGTTTGTCACCAGAGAGATAAGGTTCCCTGGCCGGGATAAAGTTTTATCGGGATATATGCTGCATGCTGTGCCACTCTGGACGGAGTCCTTGGGAAATCTATTTTGAGGCCTGTCACTCCTCTTGCCATTAAGACAAAGTTCAGTTAAGAGGATGAAAATAAATCTAATCTCTTCGAGCAGAAGTGGCTGGAGCGAGCCTGCAGAGCTGATACTAGAAACCAAAGGTTTTTTCTTGATGTTCCCCTGACAGTGCTTTGCTTCTACATCTCCTCAGCTTTCTTGAGGCCTTTTGGTTCCCTCTCCCATCTGCCCGTTCTGTGGCATCCACAACTAGTGCTTTTCATGGTATGGAATGCACAGGAGCTAAGAACCTCGCCAAAAAAATAGCATGAAACCACTGCAGAATTCAACTTGTGTTCAGCCCAAGTACTATTGCACATCCAGGCTCCTTTTTTTTCCACTACCAGCTCATAAAAGTACCTTGGAAGATCAGTGATGTCCCCAGCAGCCTAACCAACACACACAGACAACTTGAGACTCAGCAGATTTGAACACGAAGAGAAGTCATTGCAGGATTAAGGCCTTGAAGGACTTAGCTCTGGAGGACCGAGACCAGCCACCAGGCCTGGAAATCGCGTGTCTACCCTCAATTTTTATCTTCTCATTTCACAAACGGCATGTTTCTTCTCCTGTATTTATTTTAAACGTCCATTCAAGCTGTGCATAATCTTTCAAGCATTTTGAAATACATTTTCCCTCCTGCTGGCAAATGAATAAGACATCCTGCTGCCTGCTCCAGAGCACGCCATGCATTGAAATAACTGCTTTTAGTGAGCTGACATATGCTAGTTAGCCCTCTCCACAAAGTCTTTGCTAGTAACGGGCTAAAGAAAGGCACTCCTAAAGAATAATATAAACTCGGGCAAACTGTTTAGATGCTCCCACTGAGTCGCACTGCAGGAATGTGGCTGCGGAGCAGCACGCACGGGGCGCTCCCGCGTGCGTGTCCGTCTTGTGAAGCCAGCGGGGCTCAACGCGCCCGTACGGACCAGAGCAGACGAGGTGGCGCGTCCTCCTTGCTCTCACCAGGCAAGGTGGTTACCCCGATGTGGATCAGCTGGGAAGTGCCCTTCTCCCCACCTTTTATCTTGCCCCCTTCCCCTCAGCCCTGCCACCAACCCCAAGTGGAGCCTAACCCGGTGACAATTTTGCTGGGAACACGACTGAGGAAGGCTCAAGCCCTCTCTCCGCAGCTGCTGGAGTACACAGCGTGTTCCCTCGTCCAAGTTGACATTCCTGTGGTGGGAGCATCTGCCTGGGGAAGCTGATGGCTTGAACAAACTCTGCTGCGCAAGGAACAAATAATTGTGTGTGTGTCCCCGCATCGCTCCAGGGAATGAACAAGCAAGGGGAGGCTGGAGCCTCACTTCCCACTGCAGTTGCACATTGCATTGCTAATTAACGTCCATCAGGAAGCATTGAGGCGCTCGCTCTCCCGCGTGACCGTGTCCCAAGCAGCTCAGAGGCAGCTCCTCGTGACAACCCACCACCGAGACGAGGATGCTGAAGGCCACGCAAGGAGTGTCAGCTGGGTTTGAGCGCTCCACCAGTGTCTTCTCTCTTGTTGCCACTGGATGGCACCCCTTACCTCCAGATAGCCCCAACCTCGCATCTCAGCAACCCTCAACTTGACCTTGGCAGTGCAGCAAGCCCAACAGCGCGAACTTCAGCAATCCCGAAAGAACAAAGCACAAACGTGGTGGGGACTGCTCCTTGTTTTACGGCACGGAGCTGAATGCATTTAGGGACTCGGTTGTGGCACGAGCCCTGCGCGCTGGAGACATTTAGCCACTTCACTGAAGTGCCGGGAGACTTAACTCACCGCAGGGAACTCCGGGGTGACTGTAAGTGGACAGTTGGGGGCTGTAAACATCACATCTGCAGCAGCATCTAAGGCACCCTTAACATCTGCAGTGGGTTGGCAGCACTGAGGTTGGGTCTGCGGAGACTTTTGTACCATTTGCAGCTCTGCTCTGCAGCTCCAGCTCCCTCGGGCACAGGCTTGGCGCAGAGAACTGGCACCTACCACCAACTCAGCACACCCTTCCAAGGGCTGGAGACTCCCCACGATGCCTGAGAGCACCTAAGAGGGAAAAAAAGGTGGAAAAAGGCCACAGACAGCAGGGAAAGCCACAGCCCACCCCACCACCTGCAGCATGAGGGTCATGAAAGCCCACAGGGCCCAGGGCAAATTCCCAAAGTGCTTGACTTCAGTCTACTTTGACCTCCTGGGAAAGGCAGCCCTTTAGTGCCGACGGATTCCATGTTTGTTTTCCCTCGGTTTGTCCCAGAAACGGGAGTCTGGGAGGGGGCGGCTGCCGCCGTGAGCATCCCTGGAGCTTTCACCACCAAAGAGTCAGAGAAATGCGCTGTTCCAAACTCAGCACATGTGCGTCGCCCGAGGAGTTGGAATTCACGTGTTAGGGAAATTCGAGGTGCCTGGAAGGCATCTCCCTGGTCATGGGTGCCTGGCACCCTGGTGTGCTCTCCCTGCTCCGCATTAGATCCCATGGGAAGGTGGCTTTCATGGGTGGCAAACTCCATCCAAAGCTACATATTGGCAGCAATTAAAATCACTGGGAAGGGAGAGTTCAACCCTGGGCTGAGGATGCCGCTGATGAGCTGCCATCTTCAAGATGCATGAAGATCTTTGGAGCTGGACAGTCGGAAATGGGAGCTTCTGCAATTGAGGTTTGTTCTCCAAGGATCCTCCTGGCCAAAGTGGTCAAAACCGTCTTGACAAGCTGAAGATTTGGCCTTAGTCAACTCAGTCTTCAGGTTCTCCTTGAAATCCCAGCAGCTAGGCAGGCACGTTGTATTAAAAAAAGCAAATATTCCATATTTCTAGGGATGAGGCATAACCGGAATGAATCCAGATTGTGCTACAGGGAAAAACAGTATTGAGGGATAAGCAACCAAACACTTAGGACTAAGCTGGAATATCCAAGGGGAAGAGACGTGGGAATGCGGGAGCGGAGGGAGCTGCTTTGCAGAGCAGTCGAGCCCAAGTCTCGTTAGTCCAAGCCTCGTTGCCGATTCTTGGCCAAGCCCCAAGAGCCGACCTGATAAACTCAGGCTCTGCTCCCTTGCAGTCGGAGGTCAATAATATTTGGCTGCTGCTTCTCTGTTTTCCTCGGAGCCCGGTGCAATTTAGACGCAAAGTTCCTGCGTTATCGGCAAGAGGGGAGGGAGAGAGCGGGACACCGGGATGCCTCAGAGAGGAAAACCACCATTTATTGGGCACATTGTTTTTACATCATACTCCTCATACAACAGCTTAATTGTAACAATACATTTGAAGAAAAAAAACCACCAAGATTACTTGCAAAATTATATATATTTTAATATCCCAAAAGTACATTGCATATATATAGTAGCAAAAGCCCCAGGTCCGTGGGTAATTTCTTCATCCTTCTTATTTTTGCGGTTATTGCAGTAATGTTACTTAGAAACACCCCAAAAGCACTAAGACCTAAACTTAGGATGGAGATTAGCTCCATTGTAATCTTTTTTCTTTCCCTTTCTGTTAAATAACGGCATCAGTGCTTCTGTTTAAAGTTATAAGCAGACTATAATGTCCTGGTTTTAGGCCATCCTGTTAAGTGGTTGCCAATTAATGCCAATTAGTTGAAGGGTTGTACGTGTAAGCCTGGCCCCCACCCCATAGACATCTGCTCCCAAAACCCAAATGTTTGTGCTTTACCCTTCTCCTCCTGGCACCAAACCAACATCTGCAAAATTCAGACATCTGAAAACTTCAAAATGTGTGAAATTTAAGTGTAAACTCTTAGGTTGCAGAGGCGGGACAAGACATTCCCCAAGTTTTAAAGATGTGATGAAAAACAAGCCCCAAATATTGCAAAGGTTGCTTTGAGATGGTGATGCATGTTTTTTCTTGGTTTTAATGCAATTTAAACCTAATGGAGTTAATTTGCAGATGGTTTTGACAGACTAATAGAAAAATCTCTACTCTAGACAAACCCAGAGAAGTCGGGAAGGTTTCTGGCTAGTTTGGGGGTCAGGTGGGGATCCACTTGCAGCACTGAGGCTATCTCCAGCAGATACATTACTCATGTCTTATTTTTTTCTTTTTTTTTCTTTTTTTTTTTTTGTTTTTTAGTAAAAAGTACAAAGCTACAGCCCAAATGTACAGATTGCAAAGATGTACAAATCACATAATTAAAAACAAAACCAACCCACAAACAACTGAGCTGACAGTAACGAAGAAAAACAAACCTGCATTTGTGACCGAGGTCAACTCGTTTTATTTAATCTTTCTCTTTTTAATACTGTGAGATATAGGGAAAAAAAAATAACTCTGCATAACTTATACAGTAATTTGCCTTCTGATTTGTTGACCCCCTTGGATGACGGGCTGACAAACGCACAGCGTTCGCGAATCGGTAGCACGTAGCAATCCCTTAAGCCCCTGGCAGAGCTCAAGGACCTGCTGTCATTTATTTTACTCCACTTCTGCTTCCAAGGAATGTCTTGGCGTTAGGTTGCTTCCTTCTGAGCGGGTCTCTGATGTGCCTGGAGTTAATACACAGTCTAACGAAGTTGTACAGTCTAGCAAACTTCCTTCAATGCCCTTTACTTCTTAAAATATACATGTACTATATATATATATGAATATATATATATATTTAATTTCCAGTTGGGTGAAACTCCTCGTTTGCCTTAAAGCTAAGATTCCAGTTGCAGTCCCCTGCAGCCCAAGGTCCTCCTGACTTATGGTCACATTGCCTGTCCTCTCCAAAGCGAGAAAATAACCCACGTGGTCATCTTTTCCTACGACCCACAGTTGGATCTATGTCTTCTACAAAGCCTTTGAATTCTTAAAAATTCTGTGATCAAAATGCTAATAATCATTCCAAGTCGTGGTGAACAATCTTCATAGTCAGCTCCTACAGAGGACATAAGCCTTAAAACCCAAAGAAAAGGCAGTACTGGCCCAAAGAAGCATCCATCTCTCAGTTGAAGACACAAGAGACAATGGTACAAAAGTAAAAGGTTTGGTCCAGGAATAACCAATCTCCAGTTTTAACTATCCCCCCAAAGGCCGCAATTCTCCATGAAGGGTTCCAGAAAAAAACAAAGAATTATCCCAGAAGTAAGGAAAGCGTCCAACCAAACTGATAGAGGCCTCTGGAAGGTCAGAGCCTCTAGTAATAGCTGCCCAAGTGTGGGGATACGTGGGCGTTGGGGTGGCGAGGGACGTTGGGGTTTGGGTAGATGCTTCCAGCAGGAGAGGTCCAATAAGGGGAGGCCGCTCCGAAGAAACTGGACGACGTGACCGGCATAGAGGACGGGTGCGGGGGGACAAAGTTCACCTTCTGCTGGTGGGCATGGTAGGAAGGCATGTAGGAGAGATCTGACGGATACTTGTACATGGAGGATTCGGTGGGATGAGGCTGAAGAGCCTGGGCAATGCCATGGAAGTCAAATTTGTAGGCATACCTCTTGCCATGCACCTTGGTCATAATGTTCTTGTCGTAGTAGTAGCGCAGGGCCCGGCTCAGCTTGTCGTAATTCATGTTGGGCTTGCTTTTGCGCTCGCCCCAGCGCCGGGCCACCTCGTCAGGGTCCGTCATCTTGAACTCGCCGTTGGTGCCTTCCCACGTGATGCAGCTGGCGTTGGAGCTGTCCGAGAGCAGCTCGAGGAGGAACTGCCACAGCTGGATCTGCCCGCTGCCTGCGAGGAGCAAGCCAAAGAGAGGACGGGAAGTGACACCGTGTTTCCTGCCCGAAAGCAAAGACAAAGGCAGGAAACAGAAGGACTAGCTCGATCTAGACTGGGAACGGCTCCTTCGAGCCTTCGAAACTCTTACGGAGGAACGGATAAACTATTCCCGTTAGTCAACCCTTTGTTCTGTTTATGAGTTGGAGGTCAGATTAGATTTCATAACGGTCGCCTTTGGCCTGAAAACTCTTCAGGCTGCCCATAAACAGGCTTTTTCCGAGCATACCCTTCTGCAAATTTTTTCACCCAATGGGCGACAGAGTGTGTTTTAACTCTTGCCTGCTTCCTGCCCACCATGGATATGGTCTTGGATACCTAGTTTCCCTTCCAGCTGATGGGGCTTACGTAGGATTATTTCTTCCCCAGCCTAGGTGCCTCCTGCTCTGTGGATGTTCTCTGTGGTTATGCTCTTAGCAAAGACAAAGAACCTTGTTAGGATGCTTCCTCACGAGCAGTCAAGCCCATTGCAGCAGGAAACACCTAGATCTGCAATCAGTGGCAGTGCCAAGTGCCTCCCTAGACAATTCCTAATGATGTAGTCCATTCTTTTGAATAGCCATGACTGCTTTGAGGATGCTGATTTTGGTCAGATAAAGACCTTTTCCTTGTTTACAGTAAGGATTTCAGTGCTAAAATCCCCAGCCCAGCAGAGGACAACAGCTACGCACCTAGTACAGTCGAACAGGAAAGAACAGGAAAAGAAACCCCTCTGAAAATGGATTATTGACTTCAAAACGCTGCTCTGAACTCACCTGGATTGGCAAGGCGGCTACTAGTGGGCCCCAGGATTTGATAGGGATCTGTGACAACAATAATAAAAGAACAAGAGCGGTTTGAACAAGTGCTTCATCAAAGGTAAAGCAACAAAATCTCCATTATTATTTACTCTAGAAACCGAACCAATTTTCCACTTTCTTTCTTCACTTGCGCTGCTTCTTTTTCTAGCAGGAGGGGCCTGGCACAGTCCCGTTGTCTCCCTCATTTCTCTCGAAGCAAACAACCACCAATTATTTATGGAATCCAGAATGGCACAGCGGCTCTGGCCCCGCTTGCAGAGTGGCCCGTTTTCAAAGATATTAATCTCTTCTGGACAAACCTTGCACATTCTGCGTGTCAACAGCAACGTTGAGTTGCATGGAAAAAAGGAGTGTGCGAGAGCACAGCAGTAACGCATGAGAAGAGGAAAGATTCCTCCTAATAATCCCATCTCCTCTCACGAGCAGATGGGATTTCCAAATTCACTGGCTAACTATTTGGATTTCCAAATGCACTTGCTAACTATTCACTTGCTGACTACCTGCTGTCCATTGAGGTCAATGAGATGCTCGCCCTGGTCTCCTGCGCTGAAGCCAACAGAGCATCAGAGCAATGATGGCTCCAATGAGGCCGAGTGTTCCTTGAAAACCTCGCAGTGCATTTGCTAGGAATGAATTCCCTCCCTTGCTGTGGGGCCTCTGATCTCTACCCTTCTCGTTGCTCCTCTCTCTTTTCCTGGTGATTTGCATCTACAGCATTGACTCGCGGATTGGATCCATGCCAAAAGAACCAACATCCTCCAAAAAAGAAAGGGAAGGCTCGAAAGCAGCTGTGCAAAGCAGGGAAGGTGGCATTGAGCTTTCCATGAGCCTTTTCCACAAAGCAGGATTTGCTCGTGGTGTCCGGGCTGCTCTGATGCCAAGGAAGGTCCTGTCTGCAGATGTTCCCCCTGCAGAAGATGGGGCTCCATTGGGGACAACTGCTGTCACTGCATGGTCCCCTTCGGCTCGCTGCTCCAAGAACTCCCTCCTCTGCTCAGGATCACTGCTGCTTGGCAAGTTTATTCCCTTTATTCCCCCATACGGATAGAAATCCTTAGGAAATGCAGCGGGGACACAACAGGTACCTGGTTGGGGCCGCTGCTGGTCCGTTGTCTTGGTCACGTTTTGCGTCCCTGCAACAGGAGGACCTGTGAAAACACAGAAAGGTCTTCTACGTATGGGGACAGAAAAGAAGGAAGGGACAGAGAGAAATACACAGGAATAACACAGAGATTGGGATGGGAAATGTTTTCCCATGCTAAAAGCCGCTATTTTTGAGATCTCACTGGATCCTTGTTAAAAATCCATGAAAAAGCATGTGGGCCAGGCAAGGAAAAATACTACATAGACATTTTACTCATTTTCCATCTCTTGTTATAACTTTATGTATATATTTACCCCCATGTTTTGAGCAGAAAACTGGGAAAAAAAAGTAATGTATACATTTTGACCTTCTTTCATATTGGAATGATTTTCAATAGCAAGAAGCCCTCAGACTCTGCCCAAGCTCCAGCTGGAGAAGGACTCGTGTCGATGTTTTGCTTTTCATAACATATTTTTAGCTTCTTCACTGGCCGTCCCCAGCTCTTGCACCATTCTGGTGCTCGTAACACAAGCCAGCCAAGCCCGTCTTCTCCCCCGGTCTCATTTGGATCTTTCCTTGCGGAATTCACGATTCCCCTTGGGATGACTTACTTGGGGAGAGGCCAGAATTCATATTAGGAGGGATGCCTCATAGGAGGGACCTCATGACAGAAGAGAACAGGCACAGAGGGGTTGGCATCAACTTTTCCATGCAGAACTGCAAGAACCTCGCTTGGCTCCTTGACCACCCGGCTTGGTATTTTATATATGGTATATATGGTATTTTTTTAATATATATATATGTATTATTGCTAGAAGTGGCTGCAAATGCGGTGGTTTGGGCCCGGTTTCCCCACACGAGAGGGGACGTTTTGGGCAGGGCTCAAGCTTGGCACCCCTTAACAGAGGCCCACGCGGCCTCCAAAGCAGCCCCCCGGCCACGCTGCTCCCCATGGAAAACTGGGCGGGCGCTGGCGCATTCCTGGGCTCTGGGAAAGCCGCTTCGGCTTTGAAATTACAGCCTCGGCACGGAAAGGAAAACAGAGGGCAGAGAAAGAGGAGGAGGGAAGAGAGCAGAGCGGGGGAAACCGGCGCTCGCTTCGTGCACCCGCTGCTATTTTCATTTTCCTTTTTTTCCTTTTCCTTTTTGCTCTTTTTTACAAGAAACCTCAAGCTCCGCTGCAAATAGAGCAGCTGGGCACCAGGTACCAGGGCCCTTATTGCCTGGATGGTGTGTTTGGGTGCCGGGCACCCATCACGCGGGTGCTGGAGTTGGGTCCCGAGCGGACGAGGCCTCGAGGAGCCGCTTGTCCCGTGTCCCCTTTGCGGCCGCTTTTCATTTCTCCCCAGGGATTTCTTTGCCCGGGGCTATTCGGGAACTGTTTGGAGAAGTGTTTTAGTGCGGAGGGCATGGAAAAATAGCAAAAAGCCGCTCGGAAGCGGGGCGAGAAAGAGGAAAGCTCGGAGGTTTCCACAGATCGAGAGGCTGATGGAGCCGCTGCGCTGTCTCCATGAAAAATTGTTTTCCCATTATGTAATTGCAGGGCAAAATGGTGTTTGGATGGGGAGCCTTTGCTAAGAGTGAAGATAACAGTTTTCCAACAGAAAAAATCTTTCCAGATTGAGGGGAAGAAGCCCTTTCTGCAAAGCAGCAGAATTGACTTCGCTAATTTTCATTTTTCTCTGCTTTTTGGTGCGTAGGAGTTAGAAAATAGAGTAATAACCGCTACAAACAGGCTGGCTGATTGAGATGCATGAGTGTGTCTGGAGAAAGCAGATGGGGCAGCATCTGGAGAGATGATCCTCCTCCTCCTCCTCCTTCTCTTCCTCTTCCTCCTCCTCCTCCAGGTGGAGAAGCTTTGGCACAGAGGAGGACCCCGCTTTGCTCGCAGCGTCGTAACAGAAATCAAGAGTGTAAAATGCAGCTCCCGAGGGTTTTCTTTACTAATATAATCCGGCCGAGTGTAGGTTGCTGGGGCTGCTTGGGCTTTTCAAGGAGCTAATCCTGGTTGTCCAGGTGGATTTGGCCAAACCTTTCCCAGTCACGCTCGAGTCCTGAATCGCTCCAAGGCTCCCCAAATGGGCTGCTCTATTTTAGGTACATCTTAGGTTTTAAAATGTGAAAGATGTGGCTCAGCTCTCCTTTGATCCAGCTTTAATGCCCCTCCGATGAGCCACTGGTCCAAGCACAGCTGGAATAACGGTGCTTCCCTGCCCCTCTGGAGCGTGGGCATCTATAGGGCCAGCCCCACGTGTCCTCTCATGGTGAGATATAGCTACAAGCAGGACCTTGCAAGGGTGAGAAGAGATAAGCAGGAGCGCTCCTGAAATGCCCCTAGTGCAAATTTCTCTCGAAGAGACCCTGCAGAAACGCAGCCAGACGGCTCCTTACAGGGGGAGTCTTATCTGTCCTTAAAACCACTTGGATTTTACACCAAAACTTTGCCGGGCTGTGGAAATCCAATTAAAAGATTTGTCCCAAGGTCCAATTCTGGTGTAAATCAGCAAATAGCTGCAGGGAAGGTAGGGGCCAATTTATACCGGTTAAGGATGAGGTCCCTAAGCCTGGTTTGGACTTAAAAGGCCCAGTGGAACAAGGGCCCTGTGACGAATGTGTGTTCAATGCAAACTGGAATTAAAGAGCACAAAATAAATCATCGATGCTTTCAAGAAATGTCATTCTGCAGCTGTCTGGTTTATGTCCAGAAATTCCCCCGAATGAATGTATACTCTATTATGAGGAAGGTAAAGGATATTAATAACGCTTTGCACTTCCACAGCACCTTTCAACTGAGGATCTCACAGCTTTGCAGACATTCACGCTCACGGGGAAGAAGGTTAAATAGCAGTTTATTTATTTACGGGCAGGAATGCCCTTTTCTGAGGCTCGAGCTGCCTTTTCCAGACAAAGTGCCTTTCCCAGCGTCGGAACAGACCATGTAGCCCATCCAACCTGTATATCCCGTCTTCCCTACTTGGAAAGAGCCCGGAGTCCATGGCTAATGTGGTTTAGGGAACGGGGGTATCTTCTTTCCAGTCAGGACTGGCCCCTACGGATCTGAGGGATGCGAATCAGGCTGGAAGTTGGAAAGGGGCGACAGGATCTCTGGGATCCTTCCTGCTGGACGTGCTGTGGTTTGGGCTCCGCTGCCCTTTGCGGAGCCTCCCGGACACGTTAGGTAGGGACCTTCCTGTAGAGCATGGCCCCAAACCTATGGATTTTAGCCCCTTCCCAGGCCCCTCTAGCTCCGAGGGCAGGTGCCCCGGCTGGCGCCCGCTTGCTCATTCCCGAGCTCATTCCCGAGGAGGAAATTCACCCCTTTAGGAAGGAGCCCGAGCGCTCCGGGCGAGCGCGTAAGCCGCACGCCCACGTGCAATAACGCGGCTCGCAGAGCACCCTCGGCAAAAAAATAATAGCTCTTTTTTTGCCGGGAGAAAAGGAAAGGATAATGGTTACTTAGAAAGTGCTCCAGACAAGCTGTCAGGTTGAATTCAGAGAACTGGAGTCTGCTCTGGGACAGCGCTGGCTCGGCGGGATCCCTTGTGAGTTGGGTTTCCTGCCTGCTACAGCTCGAAGACAACGCTTCTTTGTTCCCGGTTTTTCTGGTGAAAAAACACACGGCCGCCTCTGAAGAGGGTCAGGGAGAAAGCAGACAAAACACTAACTCTGGAATTTCAAAGGAAAACAATTAAAAAAAGAGAGAGAGAGAAAGAAAGGGAAAAAAGCAAAACCCCAGCGCTGCAGCTACTGTCTCTGCTGCGATCATAAATCCCGGCTTTGGCCACACAGTTGCAGCAAGAAACCTCCCTTCTTGCTGCTCCCGAGTTAAATACGGACCGGGGCTGTTTCCTCACCAGGCACACAAATGCACAGGCAATTCTGGACACAAATACCATGAGCAAAAGCATAGGAAATTGTGAACACGAGTGGGGGGCTGTGGAGCCTTGGCGACAGCCGAGCCAGTTTTACTGAGACTGGGCAGTGTCTTTGCAGTGACAGCTTCTCGGATCTGAAAAACCTCTCTTCCACAGGAAGAGTTTTAGGTAGGAATCTGAGGCTCTTTCCCTGTGGGAATGGTGCTTCTGGGCTCTCTTCCCCGCTTCCCGCCCGGCCCCAAAGCCACTGGACCCCGCTTGCCGCCAGGTCGGGCAGGGTGGAGGGGTCCCAAGCGGGCAGCAAATTCTTGCTGATTTTAAAGAAGCTGTCGGGGTAAGAGGAGGGAGTTCTGAGCTCCCGTCCAGGAGAAGAGCAGCAAAATGGACTTGTATTTGATTAGATCTTGGCGCATGTGCACTGCTCTCGTGTGTGAAGAACTTCCCATCTCCCTACGGTGACCTACTTAAGCACGACTGTAAATCCCACGGGATTTTCCTGGGCAGATCCTGTGGTCTCCAAGCCTCCTCCCGCGGCTCCAGACCCTGCAGCGGGTCAGTCATCCCTCCAAACAGGCAAGGAGAAGGGAACAGACCATCTTTCCAGCGGAGCCCCGGGAGCGGGACACGAATCTTTCTATTCAGCAACGCGAGCGGCCCCGCTTCGTTTGCCAGAAAACGACGCTGCGGCCAAAAAACACTGGTGATTTTCATTAGAGCAGCTTCTTCCTCAAAGGCAGCTGAAGACAATTTGTGCCAGTGACGCTAAAGACCCAACTCCTGAGTGTTTATGGGGCTGAGGAGCAAAGGAGCTCGGCCAGGAACGAGTGCTTGGAGCCCCACAGAAGGACTCTACCTACGTGAGAGCAGAAGGAATATGTTTCGGGTGGCGGTTGTCGAAATTCATGGTCTTGGCTGGTGCTGTGAAGGCAGTTTTAGGTCTCCCACAAGAGTGTGTTGAGTCCTTGTGGCTCTCATGGACAGCTGGCATTGCAGAAGGGAAGGCAGAGTGGGGGTGTTTGGTCTTTATGGGCACGTGAGGAACGCCCCATGTAATGGAAAGGTGCCCAAGTGACACAAATCGAAGGCCAGGCTCGATCTGCTGAGCTAAAGAAACACTCTCAAGGGCAGGAAAAATTGCAGGGATGGGTGGGAAGCATTTTCTTCCTTCGAATTTCTCTTCGTTCGAGTGATTCTAGGCCCTACTTGCCAAGATAAAGGGTATAAAAGAGCCTCGGAGGAGCACGGTTTTACTCAATGCACTTCCTAAAAATCACAGCAACTCTAAAAGAAAACTCTAAAAAACATTATTTTGTGTCAATTGAAGAGATTACATTCTTTTTGAGTCTTTTAAGTTTACCATGTGCCCCATGCTCTAGGTGGAGCAGGGGGGTTGGACTTAATGATCTCTAGAGGTCCCTTCCAACCTTAATGATTCTGTGATAAACATGTTAAATTTGGGAACCAACTGTGATTTGAAAAGTCAGAACGTTCCAAAATTGAAGTGTCAAAAAGATAAGTGTGGTCTTCTGTGCTCCTTAAACCTATCTGCCGGATTCTTGAATTGTTTCTGAAGATTTTTATGGAATTTATGGTGAGAAAATTTTATCCTGCTCAATGACACACTCGCTTAGAGAGAAATAGTGTCTCAGGCCTTGCTATATGCAGCATCTTAGATTTATACTTTCTGAGATTTATGTATTTCACCTAAAATTCAAGCAATCAAACGCCTGCAATCAGTTCACCAGCTGAGTAATACCTAAGCTTAAAACTGGCAAATCTTTATCTTAGGCAACAGTTTGGGATGGCAAAACCTACATGGATATGAGGATCAATGTGGATCCCTCCATTTAAACCCCGTTGTCCATCCATAAGAGACCATGACATTTTCATGCCAAAGCTATTAAAAGTCCACTTTTAACCCAATCAAAAACATACCGAGCGCACAGGAAAGCGGGACATTTATGTACAAAATAAAACTCACCTTCTTTGGTGGCGAGACGTGAGGAAGCCTCTGTGTGGGATGGAGTATTGTAGGCCAGCAACGAGCTGCCTGCAATTAAAAGAAAAGGAATTATTAAAGTTTGAGTGCAGTCTGCCATTTGCTGGGATGTAAAGAGCATCTCTGCAAGCAACTGGGCTCCCAGTTGCCCCCGTCCCTGCAGCTGCACTTGCCCCAGCAGTGTCGAGATCACTGTGGCACGGGCAGGATTGCAGCCCCAGGAAGAAGCTCCCTGCTCTCGGTGGCTGCAATAGGGACATCTCCTCTTGGAGCAACACCCATGTGAACATTTTTAGTGGCACGGGCTTGGGTTGGGGCTTCCAGGAGCACAAATCTCATCAGCATTCCAGCATCTTTATGGTCTGTGGGGTTTGACAGTGGCTTGCGTGGTGCAGGAGGGCTTTGCAACACAACAGCAGCAGAACGCAACGGAAAGCCCACTGGAAGCGCTTCTGCTTTGCACTGTTACAGCAAAAATGTTCCTTTCCAAGCATTTCCCTTGGATTCCCCTGCAAACACCTCTGGAAGCGGAGGAAGAGGCCCTGGGAGCTCTTGGAAGCCAGCATGTAATACCCATTTCATGGCTGTCTAGTTATCTGTGTTTACCCTGCCTAATCTTGCGGGCTCGCTTTCCACACAGGTTCCCACCGCATCAGGCCGTGACATTTGCAGCGGATCCCGGGACCTGATGCTGGAAACTGGAGCGCGGCAGCGGATGGGCATGGATGAGAAGTGCACAAGGATGTGCGCTGGAAGGTGCTGGAAACACACGGTGCACGTCGGAGTATCTGCAGCATCTCCTGCCCTCTGCTCGCTCCTTCTCAGGTCAGTATGAGCTCAGCCCAGCCCGGCTCGGCCCAGCCAGCCAGGCAAGTGCTGGGGAATTCAGCAATGCAGCTTGCTATGACTAAATAGGCTGCAAATGCCTCCTGGCTGGCTCGGGAGAGGGGGGCTGCGGGAACGCGCCTGCAAGAGCAACCTAGAGCTCCTCGCTGTGCAAAAATGCAGCCCGAGCCCGCTGGAAAGGGCTGGCGCCTCCCCCGGTTTAATTGCTCCAAGTTCTCACCTTTGCCCGCCAGTCTGAGGTTTCTGGTGGGAACACCGCAGAAAGGGAAATGTGTTTCCTATTAAGGGGGTTGCAGCGAGGGAGGGAAGGAGAGAAAGCCGGCGAGACAGCGCGGGACGGAGAGACGCAGACAGACAGAGGCCAGGCTGCTGCTTGCCCCGCTCTGCTCGGTTTTGGGCAAAACGCTGGCGGAGCTCAGCGTTCTTGTTGTGCTTGTTCCCCCTCCTGCCCCCCATGGGGTCGGGGGGAGCGGAGCTAAAATCGGCGCTTTCTGGAAACACCGGCCTTGCTAATGAAGCGCAAGGTTCTTCTCCAGTAATTAATCCCAACCACACTCTTATTCCCAGCCATAGGCAGCTGGGCTTCCCCAAATTCTCTAGTATTTTCCCTCAAAAAAGTGTAATTCTGCGTGCTAGCCTTAGAAAGCTGTTTGCATCTGAGATCATCTAGAAGTGTTCTGTGAGCTGGGAGCTCTTTGCTGATGACACGGGATGAAATTCGCAGATTATTTTGGACAAGAATATTTTTTGTGTGTGCACTTACAAGGGACAAAACCCATTCAAAGCCAGCAATTCAGTTTTTGTTGTGAATCATTTCCTTGGCTCCGCTTCCCTAACAAAATAAAGGTGGGGCTTACAGAGGCACCCATCTGGGATCTAACTCTTCTCCCATCGTAATCTGCAAAATTCCCACTGATTTTGACAGAGGGAGAGACCCGTGCTGAATATTTTTGAAAACCCACCCAAAATAAATGCTGTCTTGCTGCTTTATTGCACTGGCCAGATGGAGGCATCTTAAGCTGCTTTTATTTCCTGATGTGATTTCCCAGTGGAAAAAATATTTGGCTTTCTCTCCCCTCCTTTGTGCTATGGCACCTTCCCCTGATTTGCTGGTCCCCAAATAAAAACGGGTTCACTTGAAACCTTAGCTATTCCAAAGCCTGAAGGCCTGAAAGGAAAACATTTGGGAACGTGTGGGACTTAGCTCCAGCACTCCGGACTCGGAAGCTATCAACATGGGAATAAAGAGCTTTAGCATAACTTGTTGTTCTTTGAGTACCAGACTCTTTGCACCACGTCGGCTTCAGGTCTACTTGGGAAATCACTCAGGGATGGGAGAATTAGGTTATGGAACAATTTGCCTGTGACCCATCAGTTAATATTTGGTTTAATCATCACGGCAGTGTTATGTGCTTTTATCATATAGCCACAGCTGTTTTCATTATCGACCAGCCTATCTAATCTTCTTAAGAATCCCGCTCCCTTCTTCACCTCCCTGCTATCTTCTAGCACCACCAGCTCCACCCAAGCTGCACAGCAACTTTTGCACAAGGTTCTCACTCCTTCCGTCTTGGCTTTCTCTTCTCCTGGCCTTTCTCCCTGGTGTTCCCCATCCCTGCTGCTGTCTCCGCTCCAAGGGGAGCTCCAGCCTCGTGGTAGGAAGGCCTGGTGTCGGGGCAGGACTTACTTTCCCTGAGGTAACTGAGGTGAGACAGCAGCACCTCGGTGTTGTAGAGGGTGGTTGTTCGGAGGAAGTCGTCCTTGTTCATCTTGCAGAGCTCCTTGCCGTCCATGTTCTGGAAGAGGGAGGCGTCGATCTCCATTAATCCGTACTCCTTTATAGCCCATTCCAGCCACTGCCGCACGTGGTCCTGCGTCCATAGGGTGGGATCTGGCAAAGGAGCACATAGGAAGGGCTATACATCAACCTCACGCCCGTAGCACTCGTTGAAGCCCAATCATAGCATGATTGCTCATAGCATGAGCAAGACGTGTGTTACAAGAGGACCCAAGGGATCTCACAGGCTTCCTGGCACGGTAGCTTCACTCCACAGTCTCCCACCTGCCGGAATCTTAAACCTACTGCTCAGGAGCAACCTCGCTAGCATTAAATGTGACTTCTCCCTCCTTGCAGAGAGCTTCCAAAAACAAACTCATGCCTTTGAAAGGGGTACGTTTGCCACCACAAGGCTACATGACCTCAGTGAGGTCTAATGACCTCAGTGCTGTGTAAGTCACCCCGGCCTTCGCGAGCGCATTGCAAAATCCCAACAGATGGCATTTAAAAGTTGGAGCCTGGCGGGATTTCTGGTCAGCAAAGGGACTCTGGAAAAAAAAAAATAAGCTTAAGCAGAGCAGCTTGCCATGGATCTGAGTCACATTTGGTCACCCTGCTGCCAAGAACCCAACTCTACCTCGGCGGGCCCTGCAAAACCAACGCCGCTCTCGGAGGGCATCGTGGATTTAAACCGTCTCACGCAGCATTATCGGCTGTCAGCAGAATTCCAGCTGCGGAATCTTTATGGCTGGCGGTGACGTAAAAGGGGGAGATTGAACCCGGCTGGGCTTTCAGCCCCCGCGGTGACGGTTTGCTGCATCAGGGGCTAAAAAAAGAAATCACCCTGAAAAGCGCGTCAGATCAGGGCGCGCGGGCAGGAATTTGTGCCGCGATACCGCTGGCGGAGAGGCGCTTTCGCAGAGCCTATCTGCCCGCTCAGATGTTTCCTGTGCTCCTGCTCGCCCAGCAGCCCGTTTGAACATGGAAGCGGCGGATTCCTGTTCCATTGCATTCGGGGAGGGCTATAAAGTCAGGCTTAATTTTGGGAAGTCTGCGTCTGATCTGTCTCTTGCAGCGGGAACGTCACGAGAAAGCCCGAACACTTCAGATCCCGAAGCAGCTGGGACAAGGAGCAGGTACCTGGAGCTGCTGCAAAGCTGAGGATGAATTTCCTTTAACATTCAGCACTAGTCAATTTGAATTCTGCTTTCTAAGCGCTGGCAAAAAGCCACAAATTTTATAATGCAAGCATCAAGGGAGGGTTCTTTTGTTTAATTGGGAGAGTTATTTGCCTTGTTTTCTAAAACACAACATTTAGGGGGCAGAATGAACTTGTGGTCTCCTTTCGAACAATGATTTTTGAATTGCAGATTTCCATTAAGCCTATTTATCACTGGAAAAGACACCGAATGATCTCTCTCATTATTATTATTTCTGCAAGCCTATTGTGACATTGTTCTTGCCTATCTTCACCCTAATGTGCTATAAATCTTTACTCTGGATTGCATTAAAATTGCCAAGTGCCTTCCTTGGATAATTTGGGCCTCGTCTGCTGCAGCCAGAGATCTGGGATGATGTTCATTATTGCCTTCCAGAGCCTGGTAAATCACTGTTATACCTCAGGGTTTTGATTTGGGGGTGCTCAACGAGGAGAAAAGCCCCTTTTTTTCATTTTCCTTCCAAGAGGTTTTATACCTTATGCCTAAACAGTACGGTGAAGAGCAGATAAATGTTCCTCCTTGAATATTTTTAGCTTGGGTTTTAATGCCTAGTTGGTATCACCAAACCCCTTTCCAGGCAAGGCTGATGCTGAAAACATCCCCTGTCACCAGTCAGCTTAGCCAGCATCTCTAGGCCAGTCCTAACAAGGGCTTAAACGGCACTTTGAGACTCGCTGTCAATCTTTTATTGGCTTCCCTTCTCTACATTCAGTTCAGGCTTTTCCTTTTCATCCTAAATGGCAAACAAATGCCTGGGGATTGTCATCTGTTCGTGGTCAAGCCGTGATCACAGAGCGGAGCTCAATTCCACGAGTACATTTCTTTCTGCCAGCAGCTCAGCTGCTCCCATCAGCCACAACCCTCAGCACTTTGGGTGAAAAGCTGCACCCTTGGTACTGAAACTGGGCCAAGATTTGCCTCATAATGTTTCCTTTGCTGGAAAGTTCCCGGGCTAAAACAGCTTTTATCCCTAGTGTGTAGAAGCTTTGCAAGGGAAAGACTCCCTCTCTTTCCAGGTTCAGACTTCACAGGTTGCCTCTCACAGCAGCTCTCATCCTTGGCTGTCCAAATGCATGTGGTGTACCCTGACAACATCAGATTGCAGATAGGAATAGCAAATCTAGAGAGGGAAGTGGACAGGAATGGTCCCTTGTAATAATTTTCGGAAGGAAAATGCCAATAATCCACTTCTGATTCCAGGTCAAAACATAGATAAAGGAAATTCAAATTAGGCAGAAACTCTGATTTCTTTTCCTTGCTTTTTACATGGTTTGTAAGGAAAAAGGAATCCTCAAAGAGCAGATAAACAAGCCCTATCTGTTCAATGGTTTATTTAAGACAGTGCGAGGAAATAAGACTCATAGACGTGGGTGGTACCTGCTGGGACAATGACTCTCCTCTCGTTGGTGGTCATGTTGGGGGGCGGCCCGTTCTTCTCATCCATGTAGGTGCTGTAGCTCATGGGGTTGGACTCCGTTCCTGCTCCGACCAGTTTGCTGCATTTGTTCACGCTGCAGTCGACTGGGGACTCCCTAGAAGGCGAAAGGAAACACATGACATGTCACCCTGGGTGCTTTTAGGCTCTTTTTACCCCTGCTGCACCAGGAAGACACTGGGGTTACAGGAACAGGAGCAGCGACAGGATAAATACCCTGGAGGTGGGAAGTTTGGAGGAATTTCTTTATACGTGGGAGACCAGATAAAAAGAAAACCAGATAAAAGGCACCCATATATGAGCACCTAACGCTGTGGTTTTACACCTGCCTATTGAGCCTATATCCAGCAGAGTTTAGATCCCGCTTTAATCACGCAGCCGCCCTGCTTGGCTGCCAGAAGCAAAATGGCCTGGGAGGAAACCGTTCTCCGAAGGGGGAGAGCTGTGACCCGGCTCCACATCCCACCCCGCGGGTCCAGCTTCCAACTTTGGACACTAACCAAATTCGCTTCTTAATCGGAGCAAGGGGGAGGGAGAAATGACTGCAATTCACTTATCGTGGCCGGGAGATAAATGCTCCGCCGAGATACTCCGAGGCAGATGGTAATTTTTTCCTCATGTCTTGCTGAGGGAACGTTGCTTGAAAATGGAAATAAGATGTATAACTTACACATGTTCGAGTTTAAGGTTTTACTATTTCGCCTACTGTTTTTCCAGGCAGGGAACCAAAATCCAAACTGCTGAAGGTTTAATGTCCCCGTGGCAGCGTGAGCAACTGCAGGGATGCGGGGGGACTGGCAGGCAGTGTGATCCCTGCTAAGGTGCTGCCGAAATTCCCCGTGTCAGGTGTGAAACACTGCCCGTGCTCCAGGGAAGGAGCCCCGGGACAGCACGAAGGAGGTTATTGCTCCCCGAGAAGACTCGGTGCTCAGAGCATCATCCGTGGTGATGATGCTCACCGTCACTGACTCCAGGAGCAAAGGGCCTGGGCTCCTACGTGGAGAGCTGCCTTCCCCCTGGAAAAGCGTTTTGGGATGGCTGGATCCGGAGCTCAACTCCCTGGAAATCTGATAGGAGGAGGAGGAACATTCCTGGGAGTAGAATTACCAGCGTTTAATTGGGCTGCGGACCAAAGTGTCCTCTCTTAAGAAAAATACCATGAAATGTTTCATGACAGCAAATGGGAAGATCCTTCCTTTCTTGTCCTCTGTAAGTCACAGTTTCCAGCCCGATCCAAAGGGGGCCTTTTCCTGGGAAAGGAGAAGGCACTACGTGATTGAACCAGGCCCGTTTCTGCCCTGCCAGAGCCCAGCCTGTCCCAAGGAAAGGAATTTAACAGCATCCCAGCAGGAGAGAGGTGAGCTGTGGGGCACCCAGGGAATTCTGTGTGAGGAACAACTACAGGATCAAATGGGAATGGGCTGCGGCGTGCCATGAATAGTGAATTCATTGCATGCAGCACCTTCCTTCGTTCCTGCATTACCCACAGCAGACTGAGATTTATGTCAGAATTCCCTCATTACTCGAAATGATTTGTGTGACGGCCCTTCAGATGTGAGCATTGATGGAGACTTTGGGCTTTTGAAGGGCTGGACACGCTGGAATGGCTCGTGTTCTGGGCAGAAAAAGCTGTGGATCCCCGAAAACAACTGGATCGGGGCTGCTTCCACGAGGTCTCTGCAGTTTATTCGCTGTGGTGGAGGCCAGGGAGCACGAGGCTGGGCTCATCCGTCCAAAGGCTCTTCATTCCAGCAGCTCCAGCAGCAGCCTCTGGAGATGCCAAGAGCCTGGTGTGCTGGCCAAGTTCATGCTAGACTGGCCCGCGTGGACAAGCAGCCGGCCTGGCAGGGACAGAGAAGTGCTCCAAATAGCTCCGTCCTGTGCTCCAGGTACCTGGAAATAAAGCCAGGACTGTCCCAGGGCCTCTGTCTAGGAACTGCCTTTGGCTTTCACTCGAAAGAGCAAACTGAGGCATTACACTGATTCCTGAACCTGACTCAGCTGTGTTCAGGGGGATATTCCCCCCCCCCTTTCCTACCCTTTTCTTCCCAGCCTTCTATTCCTCCTCTCTTCCCGTCATTTTTAAGCATCTTGCTGAAGTGTAGAGGTTCCCATTGGATCCTCTCAGCTGCCAGGGGTACCTTTCAGTGCCGATTCCCGTTGGAAAAGCAGCCTGTAGAGCTGCTGAGGCTCCCACCAGAGGCAGATGAGAGGGGAGATGGGGCTGATAAAAGTGGGGCTGCAGGAGGAGAGCCCCGAGGCTCTGAAAGGGCCAACGTGGGCATCTTCACCCCAGCAGGTAGCACAGCCCAGCGCCTAGAGCAGCGAGTCCCACTAGAGGGCCCACGTGCAGCTCCAAGGGCATTTTCTTCTCGCAGACATCATTGCTTCGCCCTTTGTTTTCTCTGGGGAAAATCCTAGAGTTATCACCGAGTCATTAAGGTTGGAGGGGACCTCTAGAGAACACCTAGTCCAACCCCCCCTGCAGATGCAGGGTCACGATTATGGTATAAAAATGTGTGCAAGCCGCTGAATCTTCCCATTGTTTTTAAGATTCTGAAGCAAGAGAAGGTTTTCCGAGGTGCTGATTTCATTATTTTAGCTGGACAAAGCTCCTAAGGCCAGTTGGAGTTGCCCAGGTGGGCTCATCCATATCCACGCGCAGCTCAAGCGCATGGAAAGAGCTGAAGCCCCCAGCTGAAGTCCCGTTGGGAATTGCACTGGGAGAGCATAAAAGAGAGAATTTTCCCTTACTGACCAAAACCACCCTGCCCCTCTGCTCGCAAAGGAGAGGAAGGAGAGACGGACACTGGCCCTTACCGTGCGTGCCGCGCCGGCCACCGCCTCCCCGCCGCCTCCGAGCGCCTCTCGGAGAAGGCTTCCCGGGCAGGTGAAGCCCGGAATAAAGGGCTGCCCCCCTCTAATGAGGCAGCTGGGAGCCAGGGAGAGGCTGTGCTTGAAAGGCGAGGGAGAAAGAGCGAGAGGGAGGCGATGGCGAGAGGTTTTGTTAGGCCCTCCCTGCTGTTTAATGGCTTGGGGGCTGAAGGTGCTGCTCAACCTGGAATATTCTGGGATTCTGTGGAATGGAGGCTCCTTCCTGCCCACGGCAGATCTGCAGGCCCTCCATATAAACCACTCCAGAGCAGCTAGTGAATCAGAATCTCGGTTGTTTCCTCCTCGATTTACGTGTTTAACGGGGGAGATGGTGGCCCAAGATCATGGAGGAGAGCCCGCTGTGCCTGCCCCAGGTGTGCACCGTGCCCCTGCCCAAGGGATGTCACACGGACACTCTGCTACACAGAGGCACAGGATCCATCCAGACACGTGCAGCGCTGCCTATACATGGCAGAGGAGAGGCCTGACCGTCTACCAGCTCTAGACACAGCTCAAGAAGCCCGGCCTTTTTTGCCAAAGATGGCAGAAAACCCCAACCTCGTCCTCTCGAGATGCCCCCTTTTCTTCAGGGACGATGCTCTTCAGGAAATAACTATTTTAGACGACCATTTCCCTGCGTTTTGGCCCTGGAAACAGTCGCGGAAACAATCCAGAAATCCTCCCAAGTCCAGAGACAACACGGAGGCGCAAGCAGGGCGAGATCAGACTGCGCCTATGAATCATCAGCAGCAAAGCCCAAGTGACGCAAAGACTTTCTATCTTACAGTAAAATCTGCATCTCCTCTATACCTACGAGGAAAAGACACGCTGCCGTTTGAAACCTCCAGCAGCAGCCTCCCTTTAGAGAAGGCTCAAAGGTGTGGGGCTGCTTTCTGTTTCAAGCGACGCTTTGCTAAGTTCTCAGAAACTGTTTTGGAAGCCCCGAGCTCTTCAAGAAGAGAAAACTGCCCCAAAATGCCCCCTGTGAAGATGCAGGACGAAGGGGACCCGACCGCCGAGCACGTTTAGCTGTGCCTGGTTTTAACACGGGCTTTGACGTGGTCACATTTGGCACAAGCCACTTAGATAATTGTTTAGTCTCTGCAGACTTAAGCTGAAAATCCCCCCCTTCTGTTTACTCATGCAGAGCACTCTGCTACTGAGCAGGGCCAAGAGCGATGCTCGTGACTAAATCCCAACTTTAGTGTTAGTCTAACGATATTCAAATAGTATTAAGTGCTGGGTAATTTTTCCTTTCAGGGTTTTGGAAATTTTAGACCCTATAAAGGTTGAATTTGTGTTTTTCCTCATGGTCAGAAAAGCAAGATCTCACCTTTCATAGACTAAGGGAAAGATGCTCCTAGGTGTCAACCATGTCACTTCAAGGTTCTGTACAACATAATATAAATCTGGAGGGATTTCAAAGGCTCAGGGAGGGTTTCATCCATAATCCAAAGCCACTGTCCAAACGGCCTATGCTTAAACACAAACCACCCAAGCTTAGGATTGCAACTGCTCGGGAACATTTCAATGCAATGTCTTAAGAAAGGGGAGTTGTTTAAATGTGCCCTGCATTAGCAAGGCTCAGTTTCAATTCCTTCCTCCTTTGGCATTCTATGTTTCCAATTGCCCGTGTGAGTATTTTGTAAAAGGTAGAGTCCTGTTTGTGACTCTGAAGCTCAAATCAAATTCAGAATTCATACGAACTCTCAGTCCTACTGGTTCGAAATGAAGTAACTACTGTAATGATTTAAAACTGGGATAACTGGAAAGCTTGGTATGTGAATATAAGCTTTCCAGGGAGCTTTCCAGCAAAGCTTTCCAGGGAGGCGACGCTTTGCCTACTGGTATGTGATAAGTTCTGGCTATTGCTGCAGGGCCAAGTGCGTGTCCAGGAGCCCCCCTGATCCCTGGCATGTTTGTGGGGTGCTGCAGTGAAATAAAATCCGTAAGGAAGCGGTTGCAGGGGGAGCAGGGCACGAGGGGCTGGTTTGGTGACACGTGGGCCAACAAGCGGCACGCACTTGGCTCCCACTTGAGACCGCACGGAGCGAGAGCTGCCCTTCCCTTACCTTGATCCATTCATGTGGTCGTACTCCCTCTTCACGTTGACCCGCACCGGCTGGTTGATCCACTCCTGCTGCGGCGGCAAGGGGTTGATCTTGTGCGGCTGCCCGTAGTCGGCGTTCCCGGAGGCGGTCATGTCCGCCTTGGCAAGGTGCGCGCCGGCGCCGTACGCCGACTCGAAGAGGGACTGGTCGTCGCTCACCACCGACAGAGCCTCCTGCGGAGAGGAAAACAGCCCCAAAATAACCAAGGAGATGCGGAGAGGGCGGCTCTGGAGAGCACCCGGAGGTGCCTATTCCTGCCCATCTCCTTTCAAAGGATTTTCCCGGTGTTTAGATATTGAGGGGCGCTGGCTGCTCATGCTGGGGGAAAATACGCGTTATTTTACACTTGCTGTGTGTTTTGTGGGCAGCACAGACCTGGTGAGCTACCAAGCCGTGCACTTCTAGGAATGCTTCACAACAGGAAATGGTTATCCCCCTTTTTTTTCCTGCCCTAATGCCAAACGACAAGTTCTATGGATTTCCTTGCTAAAACAAAAAAACCCTCCAAGCTCAGACAGGTTTAGGGACAGGTCTGTGCTCAGAGGGCACCCGACAGGGTCTGCAGCGCCCGGGTGGGTGCAGCAGAGCCCACGGGAAACATTTCTGCGGGTGCTGGCCACGTCTGGAGCAATCCTGCTCCCAATTCACAAGGCACATCCTGGAGCTCCTAGAAATAAGAAATTACTCTTTGCCCTGCCCGCCCCAGCAAGCGGTTGTCTGAGGTCTGCAAACTTTTGGTTCAAGCCGGGAAAGGGAAAAAAAAAAAAAAAAAAGATATTCTAAAAACTTGGAGTCTCCTGTAATCAGGGGACTGCAGCAGCTGCACATTTTTAGGCGCAAAAGAGCTATTTTCAGGCCCATGACACCGTCGCAAAAAATGTCCACAGTTGGAGCCTACGGGGAGAATCTGGGCGTCCCTCCCAGCTCGGAAACAACCCGCTTTGGAGCCGGGCTGCAGAAGGGACGTCCCTGCCCTGCGCCCCGGCCTCGTCCCCGTGCAGAGGCCGTGGCATTCCCTGCATGCAGGCTGGATTTTGGGAATGCCGGCGGATCGGAGGGCCCTCCAGCATGGAAGCAACGAGTGGCTGCGGGAGCGAGGCGCCCTGCGACTCTTCGCAGCAAAAGCTGCCGCTCGTAGAGAGCCAAATTTGCAAAGGCTTTAAAATATATGTAGGGAAGTCCCCTGGCAAGAAAGCCAGGAGAAGGTCCAGACGCCCTGGTTTGGGCTCTCTGGGAAAGGCCACGGAAGCAGGAGCTGGGGAGATGACAATACTGGCTGTTTTCAGCCCAACTTTAACCCAGCGGCTCCAGCCGGAGCTCCTTCCAGGTGCTCGCAGCGCCTTCACACCGAATATTCACTTTGAGCTTCCCCATTCACTTTTCTGGCCAGAACCACATTTAAAAGGCATTGCTGGAGATCAAAGGTTCCTCCTCCTCCACAAAGACTGACTTCATACACGAGCGAAGAAAAAAACGCTGAGTACTTGAAGCCTCCTGCCATGCATGGAAAGATAACTTCCTTCTCTAGAAAACTGATATTTTTCGTCTCCTTTCTTCTTATATCCCTTTCTTCCTGGGGCAAATCACTCCAGGTATTTATTTGTAAGGAGAAGGTGACTCTCAGGGACCAGATCTTGGTTGGGGGGTGTAAAGCCCCAAAGCCCTGGGAGCCCCCGAGCCCGTGGGGCTTTACAAGTCAGCACTTCTCGTGCCAACGCCTCGTAGATAGCATCGCATTTACCAGAAAAATGAGTCAAATGCAAAATTCACAAAGGAAGGGCATGCAGCAAACGCTGACGGATGGAGGCCAGAATGAGAGGCAGGAGGGCAAGGGGGTTCTCTCCTCCCTGGGCTGGGTTTTTGGCCTCACTTTCAGCAAGGCTTTGCCCTGGTCTGTGCCTTCTTTTCCCGCTGGCAGCAGCGCTTCTTCACGCTCCTATTCGTGTGGATGCGAAACCATAACGTAGTGGCTCAGCCCAGGAGGAAATGAAGCAGGAAGGAGATAGGCAGAAATAGCAGAAATACGCTGAAATTGGGCGTCGCTGAACTGGCTAAAAAGGGGGCAAGATGATTTTGCAAAATTTCCCCGGCAGAAGTTTTCCCAACAGTTTTAAATTCACTGCGGGATTTCAGGACAGACGGACGCAAGGGAAACTGCCAAAACGCAGGGCATATTATTGGGATCTCCAGACCAAAATAAGGCACTAGAAGGGCCCCTTAGGCCAGGTTTAACTGCTTAAGCTCACCAAAGGCTTCCCATGAGGGAAGCAAGCAGCCTTGGCAGCGCAGGGAGACCCCAGTGCTCCAGGTCCATTCAGTATTTTTCGTTCCGCTTTGAGACCATTGTCCCCATCCCGCTGCCATCGTATCCTGTTTTGCTCCCCGACACCCTTCCCTCCACAATCGCAGGAAGCCCATCAGGAAGCGCTGCGATGTTTCCATCCGCAGGGAACAAAACACGCACGTTCAGCCCGAGGTGACTTATTCCAGACTTAGGAAAAACAACAGCCTGGGCGCTTTGGAAGGCGAATCCCAAGCCAGGCTTAGATGGCTCTTTGCACCCCTCTTTGCGCGCAGGGTTTGGTGGACACTCCCTTGGGGTGTCCCCTCCAGCTGCGGGTGATGCTGGAAGCAAATGGGTGCTGGAAGCAGATGGGTGCTGGAAGCAGATGGGTGCTTCAGCCTGGCTATTTCAGCCCACTTATGCATCGTGCAACACGTCACGACGTTGGACCCCGTCAGCAAAGCCAGGCTCAAGGCTCTTAGGAGAGACCAGCTGAAGAGGAGCCGTCGGTAACGCCCGGAGCCGTCTCCCAGTCCTGGTGCTGGGCTCCTTATCCGCTTCCCAGTGGGAAGCTGCCAGGGATGCCGTGGGCCTGTGTTTTCCCTCGGCACCCAGCCCAGCTCCAGGGATGAGCCTGTTGCTGCAGGGCCGGGAGGAAAGGCAGAGATCCGGGGATTTCTCCGCTAGCAGCGCTCCAAGGAAAACAGCTCAGTGGGATTCCGCACTCTGTCAATGGAGATGGAGATACATGTAGAGGAAAACCCAGCTTACGCCACTGGGACTTTGCACTTGAGCTCATCCCTTGCTGAAGGCCTTCGTGCTTAAACCTGGGTGCCCGAGAAGGGTCCTGGAAGGCCTTCGGGCCCAGCAGGCCCTGATCCGAGCAGGGCTGTGCTGCAAAGCACGGTCCTAGTTGGGGGGCCACCTTCTTCTGCCTTCCCCCAGACAACGCTCGGCACCCTCAGCGAGAGGGAACCCTGTCGAAAAGGGGCTTAACGAGCTCCATGCAATTAAAGGCCACATCTGCCTCGCAGACCCCGTCCTCCTGCGCGAGCGTACAGACATGAACTCAGCAGCCTGTCCTGTCGGCTCGCAGGGAACAAAGGGGCCCATTCACAACGCAGGCGCTTGGCGTGTGCGGCACGAAGTAGAGTTGGCGTTTGGAGAGTAACCTGGGCTGCGGCTAGCGAGAGGTTCCTGCTCCAATAAATCCCTGCTCCGATAAATCAAGGAGCCCCCCGCTCCGCCGACCGGGCGGCCGCCCTGCGGAGAGGCAAGCGAGAGTCTTTGGGATGAACCCCTTGTATTAAGTCTCTTAGGTGGATTAAGGGAAAAAATCGGTATCCGCTTGGATTTTGAATGAGCCGGAGCTGGATTGGTCGGAGTTTTTCGGAATTCGGTTCTGGATCTGGCTGGGATTTCTGGGGCTGCTTGCGGAGGTGCCCTGGGTCCCAGGAGCTTAGGTGGCATCTCTGCGGCCTCACCTGCCCCAGGGAGTAGGTTCCCATTTAACTATGGTCTTTAGGAGGAGAAGAGTCAAATCGGGTTGCTCTGATCTTCACTGGGTTCTTCCTATAGAAAATGGAAGTGTTGCACGAGAAAGAAATAATAAAAGCAAACAAGCAAATCAGGAATCCTCAGGATCAGGAGCGAATCCCAAAGAAATCCCGGCTAAGGTCCTGCTGAAAGTGCAGCCCATGCGGATGCTCCCGGAGATGACCTCTCTCGGCTGGACCATTTGGGGCAATTCCTTGGTCCAGCTCAAGGTCTCGGTGTCAAGGGGGGTGTCTAGGCCACAGCTTAAGACCAACTCAGCAAGAGGCTGTTCCCCATTCCCGGAGAATTAGAAACTGCCACAAATTTTCTAATCTAGGTCTTGAACAGCAGGTCAAAACGATTCTCTACGGAGTCCACCTTGATTTAAGTGAAGTTTTTTTGTCGTCCCAGGTACTCCCAATGTCTCAATTCAGCTTTAACCTTTTCGGTTTTCTTCACGCGCTGTGTTTCTAAATGAGGAGCAGCTTCAAAACCTTGGAAAATATTCGAAAGTACCCAGTAGGACTTTGAGCAACTCGAATGCCTTTTGCTCTTTCAAAATGAGCAGGCTGGCAAACGCTACCCGTTCCTGCGAAATAGGGAGCCTTGTGACAAATTTGCATCTTTCTGCTGAAAGGCCATGAAGCTGAAAACAAAGACACCGCGTCTGGTGTGAACCTGCCTCTGTTTTACTGCCCAGGTGACGTTCTGGCTTTCTGAATGTCTTGGTTTTGAGTGTCCAAAGTCAGGGATTTGGGAATCCGCTCATCACATCACGAGCGGATTCCCACTTTCATTCCACGTGCACGCACGCACCAAACCGGGACTCGTACCCATCACAACAGGACACATTTTATATATATTATAGGGATGTATATGCTCGCTTAATTCATACTTAAAATCCAAGGTGTCTCTCTGAAGTCAGACTAATAGTTTGCTCAGGAAAGAGCTTAATTTCTCCCCGTCTCAACACCTAAAGGCATTTAAAATTCCGAAATAAAATAAAGAAAAAATACAAAAAGCCGCCGAACTCAGGAAGCAGAAAGAAAAAAGCCCCAAGCCTGATATTACTTCATTGTGAGAGCAGTTTTGCTTATCGCAGTCACATCTGAGGTTTGCGCGGAGCCGGTCGACAGTTGCTCCGTTCTTTGTTTACACCCTATGATTTCTAAAAAGCCTCGATTAAAAGCGGCGAGGAGAGGCCCTCATGTGACACCGAGGCCACTTGTGCCCGGGGGGGCTCTTATGGGCAAGTGTGGCCTCCTCTCCGAGAGAACTAAGGAAATCCTGCTTTAATTTCAGCTTAATGTCATCGTCCCCGGCCTATGGGGGAAATGGGAGCATCTCGGCGAT